GGGAGGTGAGAGTCAGGGGACAGGGGACACCCAGGTCGGGCCCAACCCACCAGAGGGTCCTCCAGCCTGCAGGGGACCAACACCAGGGAGGTGAGAGTCTGGCGGCAGGGGACACTCGGCCCCGGAACGCGGGACCAGAAAACCTCCTTCCGCCGGAGAAATTCAGGCCGAAGTGAAGACGGAGAGGCAAAACGAAGTGAAGCCGTCGGCGGGGCCTGGCAGGAGGGGCAGAGTCGCTGAGGCCGGAGGCAGAACTTACCGCCGCCGAGACGCCGAACTAAAGCTCCAGGCCGCTCATCAGTCCGAAGGGTCGGAGGGGCTCCATCGGCCGTCCGCCGGCTCCGGCTCCTCGGGGACTCACCGGGGCTCCCTCCTGGGGTCCCTGCGTGGTGGCCGGAATACGTTCCGACCCCAGGGCTCGTTGGCTCTCAGCGCAGACACTGACATGAGGCCAAGAAAGATGCACGCAGCGTTTATTGGGGGCTGCCACTGGGAGCAGAAGTCCCGGCCGGCTCCCGGAGCGACCGCGCTTTGCGAGGGGCTGAGGCGGGAAAGAAGGGGCGCCCGGCTCGCAGGGGCGCCGAGCCGGGAAGCTGCGCGCAGGCGCAGTGGGCGGCACAGGCTCCTACCTGCCCCGCGTGTCTCATTAGCATGTCAAGTCTCCGCCCCCGGCCGCGAGCGTCAGGATTGTCGCGAGGAGAGAGTGGGTGAAGGGTCAGCGCTGGGGTCCCTCGCGGCACAGGCTGGTTTAGGCCGGTTTCTTCGGCCGACTTCTTTCTGGCAAACATCCCGCTTCCGCATTCCTATGAGATATACCGCTCAAAAAAAAAAAAAAAAAGAAAAACCAACACGATTGCTCAGCCTTTTCTTCTAAGGTGACACGCAGGGAGCCATGGGCTTTGTGGTTAGGGCGAGGGTGGGGGCTCCAAACACAGCCTCTGTTCTATCTCGGGACCACTTTTGATGGCAAAGTTAGGAAGGGTCTCCTGGAGGAAGTGATGGTTTTGGGGAGACCTGAGGACTAGGAAAGAATCAGCACATTTGGGGGCCATCTGCCCAGGGCCCCCGCGTGACTCACCTCCTCCTAACCCCACTCACCCCCCTTCTCATTTCCCATCTTTAGTTGGTTTGGAGGAATTTAAATGCCTATCCCAAGTGTTTGATTTTATTTATTTTACAAGTGATTTCCCACAGTATACCCACCCACCCCTCCACCACCCCTCTCTCCACCAACACTCACTGGCCTCTTTCTCAGAATGAAGGTCAGGGTTGAGTTCGGCATAAGTGAAAGCGTCTAAAAGATATACAAACCTGCTCAAAGCTTTATTGTACAGAATGCTGAAACACTGCAAGGCTGTAAGTTGCTTAAAATCAGCGTAAGAGTTATTAGTGACAGAGGGAAGCTGAAGGGACTGCCTTTTAGGAAGACTCCATTTCTCCTGTTTCTCTGGTAGGCCCCATGTACTCATGTTCTGTATTTCACCTTGCATCTGAGTAAACCAAAGAAGCTCTGTTCCCACTCCAAGACGGAGGCAAGAAAGTGCATCATTCTGAGTTTCCTCCTAGGCCCCCATATGCCTGATAACATCTGAGAAGAAGTGGGCCGAGCATGTTTCGGGACACTAGCTTCCAACAAACCTCGGTTTTCACTGGTGTCAACATCCCCGACCTTTGGGGTTTTATAGAATAACACCAGTCGCCTTTGATTGGATCCTACCTGGATTCCTTAAGGAACATGCACCCTGGACCCCTTTCCAATATAAGCTCCTAACAGACACTCCCTTCTCTGAGTCTCCCAGACTCTCTGTCTGCTATATTGTATCACTTACACTATTCAGTTTACTGCTCTCGCTTTTTCCTGGCTTGCCTTCGATTTCTATGCTGCTCAAAGCCCAGGACCCTCTTGGCGGGTCTTTGGACCCACCGGGACTTCACATCTGGCCTGCCTACTCATGAGCAGCACTGGTTTCCCAACTGGACTTGCAGACCTGTGCTTTTGGTTAAACCTGTTTAAATAATACTGTAACAAGAGAACCAAAAATAAAAACAACACATACATGTTAATAACCCAGTCTTCCATCTTACCAAGTCAGCTATTTCAGTGCCCCATACTTTCCAGAAGGTGTCCATGTGTCACTGCTGTAATTTTTAAATACCTTTTTTCAGCCCACTTTCTACAATTGGATTACTACCATTTAAGCCATCACTTTAGATACCTGACTCCGTTCCAGGATCCTCTATCCCAGTTCTCAACCTATGATTTGCAGATTTGGGGGGGTGGGGGTGGTCCCTGATACACTTTCAAGGAGTCTGCAAGGTTAATACTATTTACATAACAATAATAATGACATTATTTGTTTTTGCTCTCACTAGTGTACAATGAAGTTTCTAGAGATGACCTGGCCTATGATACCCCAACACTGAGTACAGACACACATGTGAGGGTCCAGACCATCTCTAGTAAAAGCCAGATATCAGATTTGCAAAAATGTCAAAGAATGCCACATTTCTCAATAAAATTTATTTTGCCTTGGAAACAAGTTATTTTCATAAAACACGTTTTTATATTAACTTACAATGGGGTTATTAACAATGGGCTATCTTAATATAAATTATAAATACATTTTTAAAATGTCTGTTTCCATCTTCAATGCCATAAATATTGACAGATATAACCCAAATGCTCTTTGGGGTCCTCAATAATTTTTATTTTTTATTCATTCTTAAAGATTTTATTTAGCAAGAGAGAGAGAGCAGGAGGAAGGGCAGAGGGAGAGTGAGAGAGAGAATCTCAAGCAGACTGCTGAGCACAGAGCATGCAGGGGCTCGATTTCACACCCCAGAGATCAAGACCTGAGCCAAAACCAAGAGTTGGACACTCGACCGACTGCACCACCCAGGGGTCCCTCTCCATAATTTTTAATGTCTAAAGGCAGCCTGAGGTCAAAAAGTGGGAAAGTGCTGCTTTCCCCACTGAACCTGAACCCCGGGATCCACCTGGTTCAGTACTCACCTGCTCAGCTAAGACCTTAGACTTCAGGCCACACTCAGTAACTGAGTACTGACTCCCAGTTTATTGAGGGGACACCTGAGGCAGGCCGAGATGTGTCTTCATCCTTCTCCAGCTCAGTTCTAGGCTGGGAGGGCTTTGCTGTGTGGTCTGGAAAGCTCAGGGGAGGGGTGGAAATGGACCGTCAGCCCCTGCGCCCCTCGGCTGTGATGGCGAGGCTCCCACCCCCCTGGCAGCTTCCTCTGTCCCTGACCTCCAGCGGTGGCTTCCCTCCCCTCACAGCCTGCTGTGTCCAGATGCCCCCGCCCTGAGTCCACAGCGTCTGATGTCAACCTGAGCGTCAGGCTCAATGTGTCACTCTGATGGGAGAGCCTGTCACTTTCACACACTCTTCATAGGTGGGAGCCATGTGGCAGCCCCTCTCTGAGGCCGGACCCTGCCCCATGGTTCCCAGCAGACGAGTTACTAAAGCAACAGTCTAATGAGGGGCGGATGGGGCTGGGCCTGAAGCAGGTGTCGGAGGGGCCTCTGGAGGAGGTTCTTCCGTGTGTGCACCGGGAAGGAGGGTCTGTTTCCTTCCGGGGTGCTGTGCAGAGATGGCCAAGGCTTCTCTACTTGGCTCTGAGGCCAGAGCACTGTTCGTGGGGGCTGTGACGGGTCCCTGTCCTGTGGAGGATCAGGCCGCCCTCAGGCACCAGGATCCCCCGCGCCCCTGTGAAGGCTGGGCAGATGAAGAGGGGGCTGTCATCAGACCCCAGCCTGAAGAAGGGTCTCAGGGGCCCAGAAAAGGGTGAACGGGGACATGTGTAGATGTGTGATCTGTCCCTCATGTTATAGAAGGAGATATCTCCAGCTTCATAGTCCAGGAAGACGCCCACCCGACGAAGACGCTCTTTCAGGGGAAGAATCCTCTCAGGGGAAGACAGGACCCGGTACTGGTTTCCAAACATCTCCAGGGTCCAGAAGCCATTCTGGGGGACCAGTAGGGCCTCCCCTTTCCTCTCAACACTGTCTCTGCAAACCCCCACAGCCCACACCATCACGTTTTCGACCTCCACCTCCCAGTAATGCCTCCCTGAGGAGAAGCTCTCCAGGCCCAGGACACAAGGCCGGCAGTCGAATCTCTCCGGGTTGTCGGGGACACTCTGCCTGGAGGGGCCTCTTCTCACACTTCTCCCGTCCTCCGTCAGGAAGAGCTCAGGATGAGCGGTGTCCGGGTCTAGGACCACGTCGGCTGCAGAAGAAGTCTCCAGTTTAGGCCTGGGGTCTCAGGAGATGGTGCTATTCCTGGACCCCAGGGAGGTCCCAGAAAGGTGGTGGGAGATCCCTGTGTGGCGGCCTTTTCCATGAAGGGCCCTTGATCCCAATTCCCAGGCAGCTAGCTCACAGAAGTCCTGAGGCTGTACTTCTGCCTCCTGGGTGACAGGAGCCTGGCCTCAGATAGGGGATCATCAGGGGTCTAAAAAGGTGGAAAGTTTAGCAAAGGAACCAAAATTCATGGCTCCCGCTTTCTCTCAATTTTCTCCGCTCTGTCCCTTTTTCTATTCAACACATATGGTCTCTGGGACTCTCTTTAGTTAGGAACGTTCCAGTTTGGTTTAAACCAGCAAAGAGGCCCATCCTGCTCCCTCTCCCAGTGAAGCAATTAATGCCAATTTTCCCCTGCAGATTCCTGCGTAGTAAAAGCTCCTTTCATTGGTTCTCCGGATTCCATCAGTTTCACCAGGTGACAACTGATTTAAATGACTCCCAAGGGCACCCTTCCCAGGAGAAAAAGGGAGGGTCACGTCTCCACAACCTGCTTCTGCATTAACAACATGGGTCTGACGCCTACGTCTCTGCCCTCTCGGGATGTAGGAAAGGCTTCGGACCCCTGACATTCTGCAGATCTCCCACCTACAGTTACTACTCAGCTGATCGACATTTCTGTCACGTAAACGTGATTTTCTCCTCTCCCCACGTTGTTGACATGTCTGACTCTGACAGTTCTGAAATTCACCTAAAGAGGAAAGGTTCGAGTACCACAGTATCTGGTAAAGCCTGGATTGCTTGGTGCTTTTGAGCAGAAGGGGAGAAATCATAAGATGCGAAGTGCTCATTAGGATGAGGAATTCGGATCCTATGCTCTCTCTCTTGACCAACCCACTCCCCTCACAGGCCATTCCCAGAGCATCAGTGTTCCCCGGGAGCAGAGAGGTGTTTCCGGACACCTAAGCATCCCCCCTTGAATTGGGTGTGGGGAAGCTTATTGCTTTTCCATCACTTGGTTCTCCAATTGTGCAGAGTCTATACCATCTCCCAAATTAATCCAGGATCCAAAGAGCAACAACTAAAATGTAAATGTATGGTAAAGCTCTGGTAATGATAGATAAAATTATGCTAAACAAGAGGACATCCTCAGGAGCTGTGGGGATTCCCTGATGGCAGAGCTGGGACCCAGCGCTGCGGCTCACCCCAGCCCCTCCGCCTCCCAGCGCCCCCTGCCCATTTCCTCTAATACGCCCTGCTGGCTGCCAGGGGGCAGACGCCTGAGCTCGGAGGGCGTGTCCATGGCGCTCACCGGCCTGTAGCAGGGCTCGTCTCCATCCTGCAAGGGGACAGACACACAGAGGAGCTGCAGGAGCTGCTGGCAACCGAGCAGAGTGCACACCTGCATGGACTACTTCAGGAAATGGTACACTTACGTAATTCTTCTTGAAGTTGCTCTGAAAAAGAAACAGAAACCAATTCAGGTCCTCAATAGAAGAAATCAGAGAATTTGAGTTTGTGTTAAACGAGCGAGGGTGGGTCCTTCGTCATCACCCCTGTCCCCCGCTGCCCCTGCCTCTGGAATTGTCAAGATTCCAGAAACAATCGATGCACCGGAGGCTGGATGTTATCACTGCTTATTAGGTTTGCGTTTGTTCAGAGCGTGGGGCTGAGTTCGCAGAATGGGAGCAAGCAGGCGGGAGGGTGAGTCCCTGGTTGCCACGGGTCCGGGCCCCTTGCCGTGGCCTCTGTCCATTTCCTCCCTGTCCCCAGGCTTCTAGCTGCCAGAGCTGTGGCCCTGTGGGACCTGTCCTCCTACTCTTTTACCTTTTATTTGATGTTCTTTCTCTTTTTCCGCATGGTCTGTCTCCAATTCCTTACATGCAATTTCCTTCTCTTCATTTTCAACCTCTTTTCCCCTGTGGAGTTTCCTGATGAGACAGATGCTCCCGGCGGTGAAGAGGAGCAGAGAAGGCAGGATGACAGCAAGGCCCACTGTCCAGGGAAAGGTGCTGGGAGCAAAGGATTCTGAAAAGGGAGCCAGGAGAGTCCCATTCAGTGAGAGAAAGGAGAGCCCGGATGAGAGGGCCCCTCACGATGCCCTTGGGAAGGGCTCCCTGGGGTCCCTGCTCTGTGAGCTTCTTTCTCAGAAACCCCAGAGACCCTGGCTCTGCAAGGGCTCATCCCACAGGAATTGCCAGGGCTGGGGGCCCAGGAGCCAAAAAAGCAGGAGCCCCTGAGGCTGCCATGGGAAGGACCAGGGTGAACACGGCTAACCAGCCACCACTGAATCACCACAGCCGCCACCCGGCACACCCCACCACCCCTTCTTGCCCAAAAGATTGCAATTCCCCGCTCCCTGCTTCGTCTACACCCTCTGCAGTCTGTCCCCCGCACAGCAGCCGGAGTGAGATCCTGTCACTTCTCTGCTCAAAACCCTGCAGTTTCCTATGTCACTCAAACTCCCTCAATAATCCTTGCCTGCACACCAGCCAGACCTGTCCCTTGGGGTTCCTTGAAGCTGTCCGACATGCTCCTGCCTGTTCCTACTCCCTGGGTTGCTTGGTTCTCAAATATCTGCACGGCTCATTCCTCACTTGCCCAACTGCCATCTTTTCAAGTGAAGACTTCCCTGACCATCCTATTTATAATTACAACTCCCCCTTACCCCAGCACTCCCTGTCCCGTCCCCCAACTAAGTTTTTCTACAGTACTTACCTCCATCTGATATAATCTGCAGATTAATTATTTCACTTATTGCTCTCTGCCACCCTAGAATGTTAGCCCTATGACGGCAGGGATCTTTATGTATTCTGTTCACTGATTTATCTTCAGTCTCGAGAACAATGCCTTGAATGTAGGTGATACTTGTTAAGTATTTGTTGAACGAATTCGTGCATGTCTGTAGATAGACAATCCCACCCACCCTTCCCTTGAGAAATGCCATGGGCAGGAAGGGAGAGATTCAGCAGGCAGCCCTCTGGGTGTAAATAGACACTTGGCCAAACCACTCTCCATTTATGATTGTTCTAAATGTTTTAAAAATGGCTGCAGGGGCACCTGGCTGGCTCAGTCAGGAGAGTGTGTGACTCTTGATCTCAGGGTGTTATGAGTTCGAGCCCCACGTTGGGTGTAGAGATAATGTAAATAAACTTTAAAAAAATTGCTGCAGGATAAGGACTGTGACAGAGAAACAACTCTCAGAGAAGACTTTGATTTTCCCCTTGAGGCAAGACAAAGGGAGAGTCCTCCAGCTCTTCGGGGCTCAGGGCCCTTCCACCCCACGCTTCTATCTCCCCATCCCTGTTCCAGGCTCCGCTCTGTCTGTCTGAGGACCCTGCCTCGGCATGATGAGCCTCCAGAGGGCAGGGAACCAACCTGGGATGAAAATCACAGTTTCCTTCTCCTGGCCAAGCAGGGTGTTGTTGACGGAGCAGGATGTGTTCCTCACACAGCAGTCCCTGATGACCACGGCCGTGGTGACCACGAAGAGGCCGTCTGCGTCCGCCGTGTAAGCCTCCTCCAGGGCCGGCATGATCGCACCGAGAGGGTCCCTCCACACTGCACGGGGCTCCGGGAACCAGCCTCTAGACGTGCACTCCAGCCGCACGCTTCCATCCTCCTGGCCCTTTATTTCAATGAGGGGCTTAGAGCCCAGGCCTGGGGACAGAGACCAGGGAGCAGCTAAAAAGGCAATGGCGTCCTAGCCTAAGTGTCTTAGATCAGCTCTCCCCGGGGAGAGCCAAGGGATGGAGGAAGGCAGCAAGGGGCCAGTGGCCGGAGAAGTTGGTTGTTCGTGTTCCATGCATTCCCACAGGACTCCTTCTGTGAAAGGAGGGAGGAAAGGAAGGATGGAGGAGAGGAAGGAAGAAGACCCTGGCATTGGACAACATCAGGAGACCAATATGCCAATACATCATGAGGTCTCTGAGGGCACTTGGCTTTGTGCTCCACCCGTGACCCCATCACAGTGACGCGCATCCGTCTGTCTCCTACCAAGTGACTGTGGGTTTGGTTGTCTCACTTCTGGGTGAGTGTGTCTGCTCTGACCCGAAACAAGCAGGTTGCGGATTTCACTTTCCGTCCTGCGGGGACTTCTCAGCAGCGCTGGTCTCCCGAAGCTCGGGAATAATCCGATAAGGACAGAAGCCTGCTGGGCCAGGTAGAATCGTGGGAAACTTTTTGACCTCAAGACATTGTCCCTGCTCTCCCGGCTTAGGGCTGCAAGTGACACAGGTCATCAGGAGTGGTTGTTTTTAGGAGAATGGACAGAACTAGAATGCAGAACCAACCCTTACCCCAGTTCAGAGACGTGTACCTCCCAGGGGCTCAGTCAGCCAGAGGATGTCCTTAGATCCCTCCACAGCATCTACCAATTAGAAAGATCTGGGTGCTCCTGGGATCCTCAGGATAACGTATCACCTCCTCAATGTCAGCAGAACATCACAAAAAATCCTGATTCCAGGCTCTTCCCAACTTATACCGTCTATAAAAGAATCTCTAATAAAAGAGAAGTCTGGTTCAAGACCTGTTAAGTGCACGGTCCTAGAAGACTTCTGCCCCTTCAGCCAGGGGTCTAGTGATCATCCAAAGTTCTTAATTAAATTAAATTTTATTTTAGAACAGCTCAACAAAATAAAATTCCTGTTTATTATTGGACAACATTGTCTCATCCAAATTTCTTAAAAAAAAAAAGATTTTATTTATTGGGGCGCCTGGGTGGTGCAGTCAGTTGAGCATCCGACTCTTGGTTTCAGCTCAGGTCGTTATCTCAGGGTCCTGAGATCGGGCCCTGCGTGGGCTCTGCACTTAGCATGGAGTCTGCTTGTCCCTCTTACTCTGCTCCTACCCCTGCTCTCTCTCACTCTCTCAAATAAATAAATCTTAAAATATTTTATTTATTTGAGAGAGAGACAGAGCAAGCACGAATGGGGAGCAGGCAGGGAGGGAGAACCAGGCTCCCCGATGAGCAGGGAACCCAACTGACGACTCCACTCAGGGCTGGATCCCAGGACCCTGAGATCAAGATCTGAGCCAAAGGTAGACGCTTAACTGGCCATAGGCGCCTCACATCCAAACTTCTTAATTCCTTTGTTAAGGCAATCCAAAAAATTAAAAGACAAAATGAAGACAAATTAAAAGACAAAAGACAAAATTAAAGCAATCACGTAAGTCTTAGCGCTACCAGCTCCATCTGATTTTTGCCAAGAAGAAATAAACAAAAAACAAAAAAAACAATTGCACACTGAAAGGCTCAGGCAGAAACTCTGAAGTGTGGTTAAGACTCAAAAGAATTCAGCAAGTTGGAAGGAAATTCTACAAAATGGGGTTCCATGGGGTTCAGTCAAGGCAAGTTTGAGACAATAGACTTAAGGACAAAATCAACCAGCCAATGAACCAAACAAACAAAAAACATAAATAAACAATTCTACGACTCAGTTCAGACTGGGGCAGGCCTGGCCAGGGTCATGTTTACAGGGAAAGAACAGAGGGTTCCTGCCACATACAAACCCATCCTGGTCAGCCGTGCAGTGCTGCTATGAACAGAGTCAGGGCACCAGGGTTGAGAAACCCTCCTGCCATAATATTTCAGTCTAACGCTCTCCCAACTGAGCTATTTCGGCTGCTTTAATATTTCAATATGTTCTATTAATCACATACAAGGTTGCCCTTCTAGGTGACAAAGATGGCGTCTCCTACCATCTGTGAATTGAGGTCCCCTGGGGAGGCCACCGTGTCCTCTAAGCCTTACTTCCATTGGTCTCATCGACTGAAATGCCATTGATTTAGGTGTATCTTAAAGGCTCTTCCAGCCTTCAAACGTTTCTTTTAAAGTATAATAAACTGGCCCTGAGAATGAGGTCATACCTTAAAACCATTATTAATAAACACCTAGGGGGCGCCTGGGTGGCTCAGTTGGTTGAGCGACTGCCTTCGGCTCAGGTCATGATCCTGGAGTCCCAGGATCGAGTCCCTCATCGGGCTCCCTGCTCGGCGGGGAGTCTGCTTCTCCCTCTGACCCTCCTCCCTCTCATGCTCTCTGTCTCTCATTCTCTCTCTCTCAAATAAATAAATAAAATCTTTAAAAATAAATAAATAAAAAATAAACACCTAGAAATCCTGGTTTATATGCCACTTCTATTCTAAAGCCTTGCCCAAGTCCTCTGGTCAAATTCTCTCGTTTTCCTGTGGGGCCAACAGGCTTGATACTTAATCATGCTTTAATGAAATCATCTGGACAAGTCACTCACTCTCACTACAATTAGTATTTGGAGAAAGGGAAAAAAGGCAAAAATTACTATCTATTGAGACAAGGGACGTCCCTATGTTGTCCCCATGTGGTTCCTGACAGTGGCTCTTCTCACTCTCAGAGTCAGAGAGTTTGATGACAAAGTCTGTGGTCCCCTCTCTAGACCCCTGGTGCGGGGTGCTGTGCTGGGACTCCACGTGGGGTCCTCTGAGCCCCCGAGGGGTACAGCTCACTCTCTCACTTCGTTCTGGTTGTGCTCGATTTCCATCCTGTCAGGGAAGCTATTCTCCCCCAGCCCCCCTGCATTCTCAAGCCCTCTCTGCTTTATTTTCTCTACAGTGCTCACCACCATCTAAGATGCAGTTTAATTAAATATTGTATTGATTGGCTCTCTGCACTCTCCAGAACGTGGGCGCCATGAGGGCAGGAACCTTGGTGTATTTTCTTCACTGCTTCCACCTCGGTTACTTGGAATAGTGACTTGAACATAGGAGCGGTTTCTGAAGTATTTGCTGAATGAACTTACGAATGTCTGTGATGCAAGGGGGCCCAAAGAGAAATTTTCCCACTCTGAATTTTTTTTTTGCCTTTTTAAATGTGTTTATTGAAAATTTAAAAATATATATGTGGCTCACATTTGTGGCATCTATTTTATTGCTAATGGACTGTACAGCTTTAGATTAACATCCCCATGTGTCATCCTGATTGCCTCCAGACTCTCGATAGTTTAAACTCACTCTAAAACTTTTTTCTTTTTTTTTTTAATGCTTTAACATTCTTTTTTTTTTTTTTTGGAAGATTTTATTTATTTATTTGACAGAGAGAAACATAGCGAGAGAGGGAACACAAGCAGGGGGAGTGGGAGAGGGAGAAGCAGGCTTCCCGCTGAGCAGGAGCCCGATGTGGGGTTCGATCCCAGGACTCTGGGATCATGACCTGAGCCCAAGGCAGACGCTTAACGACTGAGCCACCCAGGCGCCCCCTCACTCTGAAATTTTGATATCAGCTATATATTTGTTTTTCATTCAGTTTATAACTATTTATTAAGCACCTACTAGGTGTCAGGCAATCTGCTCAATGCTGGAGATAGAGTGGTGAATAATTGCTGTTGTTTGTCAGATCCTGATGGGTTCTGGTTGCGATTTGGATAATAAAGCTTAAAAAAAAAAAAAAGTCCAGTAACAAAAGCCTGCAAAGGTACTCTCAGGGTACTCAAGGGTACTCAAAAATTTTCAGTTCTCCTGGGCACATACTTGGGACTGTAGTTCCCCTCTCCTGTACCAGGAGGCATAACCATGCGACTTGGTTTGGTCAACGAAATACGAGTCTAAAGAACATGGAGCAGTAATGATTTGCCAGGCTCTCTTTCCCTCTGCTAAGGTGAACTGCAAAGCTCCAGATCCCTGAGCGAGGTCCGTGTGGACTAGAGCCCCACCTGACTCATGAGGACATGTTTCACGTGTCAGAAATAGACCTTTGTTCTTTTAACCTACTGGGTTCCGAGGGCTGCTTGTTACCAGAGCATCTCCTCGCATGTCCTGACTAACACACACATCAAAGACGATTAAAAACACGGCCTGACCACAGGCTTGGGGGAAAAGGTTAAAAAAGCAGATCTCAGGCTCAGAATGGAGATAGCGTGATATGATGACCACTTACAGCTTTAGGGAGCAGATTCATCCATTCAGTTGCTATTTGTTGAGCAGTTCTTACGCCCCAGACTCTGTTCCAGACATGGGCTTACAAAAGGAGCAAAACAGTAAACATCCTTCTAGCCGAAGAGACAAAACACACAGGATAAGTAAGTAAAATGCACATAGAAGGCTATGGGAGAGGAGGGGAAAAGGCAGGAAAGGGAGTGAAAAGGGTCCAGGATGGGGGTTGATCCTCCCAGTTGTGGGAAACAACTGACTAGAAAGAAGAAACGGTGGGGTGTCTGGGTGGCTTGGTTGGGTGGCTGCCTTCAGCTCAGGTCATGATCTCAGGGTCCTGGGACTGATCCCAAAGTCAGGCTTCCTGCTCGGCAGGGAGTCTGCTTCTCCCTATGCCTCCCCCCGCCCCCCCCACCACCACCCCGGCTTGTGCTCTCTCACTCTCTCAAATAAATAAATAAAAATCTTCTTTAAAAAAGAAAGAAGAGATGGATTGAAATCGAATGTGAAAAACTTGTCTTTGGACTTGATGAAAAATGTATGGAGAATCCTATGCTATTGGTAAGAGTGTATATTAGCACAAGCATTTTAGAAAACAAATTTATAGTATCTATTAAAGAAGAAGAGAGGGGCACCTGGGTGGCTCAGTTGGTTAAATGTTTGCTTTCAGCTCAGGTCATGATCCCGGGGTCCTGGGATGGAATCCCGCATCGGGCTCCTGCTCAGTGGAGAGCCCGCTTCTCTCTCTCCCTCTGCTACTCCCCCTGGCTCATGCTCTCCCTCTCTCTCAAATAAGTAAATAAAAAATATTTTTAAAAGATTTAATTTATTTTTTGACAGAGAGAGAGACAGTGAGAGCAGGAACACAAGCAGGGGGAGCGGGA